AATCCTGGTTGAGCCACAAAATGACATGTGTGATTGTCCTACTGGATCGTGTAGTCTCCGTAGTACCCTGTCCATTGACAGGGCAAAAATGTCAGATATAAACTCTTCCCACATATCCATAACTACATCCTGCCTAGTCTCATAATACATCATAGCCACATTCCATATATATTTTTTATGATAGGATGGAGCAAAATAAGGTGAAAAGTAGTCTCCGTAGTAGCTGTCATCCTTCAAATATATATAGAATGTACAATGTATATTCTGGGCTACTTTTTTATTGCAACCTATTATTTTTAATGTACTTTTATATTTGAATATATAGTGATACATTCACAAGTTAAATTATGAATGGTTTACCCTTGTTTCACTTACTGTACTAGCGAACCAATACCAACATGTTATCCTAAGCACTGATTGTATTGTGCATTTGTGCCTTCTTTTCAGATAAACTTGATTTCCCAACAATTATAGTGTAGATCACTGGCTGGGACCCAGATATATAGCAATAACATCAGTATAAAATATATAAAATATATAAAATACATTGTATGGTAGTCATACAAGCTACTACGAAGACTACATATATGCAAGCAGCCTGTCGGCTGAGATAGCTCCGCTGTTAGCAATGCACATTTCAATTAGGAACTGAAGATATTAGAAAATGAACAATATGTATAGTGTCAAAGCAATCAGACTTGTGGTTTTTAACAAGAAGACGAAAATATCACTTTTTACCAAAAATGACAAAAATATTCACCAAAAATAGAGAATTTGACATGAAATGTATAAGAACCATCCAAAGTACTTGCATATCAAATTTGAAAACGATCTGACTTGCGGTTTCAAAGAAGAAGTTGAAATTGTAAAGTTGACGACGACGTCCAATCAATATATGAACAGAACCACTGTGTCGGCTTTGTCGACAGCAAAGCTAATAAAAACAAGCAGCCTATCGGCTGAGATAGCTCCGCTGTTAGCAATGCACATTTCAATTAAAGAACTGAAGACATCATTAGAAAATGAACAATATGAATAGTATCAAAGCAATCGGACTTACAGTTTTTAACAAGAAGTCGAAAATATCACTTTCTACCAAAAATGACTAAAATATTCACTAAAATTAGAGAATTAAAGATATCATTACAAAATGAACAAATCTGAGAGAGGTCCACATGTAGTACCTATATATGTAATATCAAAGCAACCGGACTTACAGTTTTCAACAAGAAGTATCAC